ACCCCACCTCTGAACCTTGCTGAATATTCACCATCTCCCCTGACCTCGAACTCTGAGGCCAAATGGTCTGTCCTCAGTAAAGGGCCCACATTTGTGCCCCTCTGCCCCCATCTCAGTGACTTCCGTGCCCGCCGCAACATGGAGCTATTCTTCTCCCACCTCTGCCTCCATGCTTCCTCCTTCAATAAAGACTCCCAACCACTCTCCGGAGACCCCTTCTCCTGTCTCCAATGTTCCTCCTCATCTTGGACACCCCCTCACAGCCTCTTACCTACCCTGGACCTCTTCATTGCTAACTGCCAACGTAACATCAACCGCTCGATTTCCCCACTCCCCTCACCCACTCCAACCTCTTCCCCCTCCAAACGGTTGGCACTCCACTCTCTCCACACCAATCCCTGTTTCATCATCAAACCCGCTGACAAAGGCAGGTCAGTAGTTGTCTGGAGGATGGACCTTTATGTTGCAGAGGCCTTCTCTGACATCACGTTCTACCTCCCCCTTGACCACGACCCCACCATGGCCCATCAATCCACCGTCTCCCACACTGTCCATGACCTCATTGCTTCCGGTGACCTCTCATCCACTATCTCCAACCTTATAGCCCCCCGGCCCCACATTGCACAGTTCTACCTGCTCCCCAAGATCCACAAGACCAACTATCCCAGTGAATCCATCATCTCCACTCACTCCTGCCCCACCGAATTCATCTCTTTCAACCTTGACTCCATTCTCCTCCCCCTTGGTCCAGACACTTCCCACCTGCATCTAGGACACAAACCATACCCTCCACCTCTTCAGAAACTTCTAGTATAGGAACTTCCAGTCCTGTACACGTCCATACCCCACAAGAACAGCCTGCAGGCCCTCAGTACTTTTCCTCTCCAAACGACCCACCCTCCCACTCCCCCCCCACTCCCCGCACTCCCCTCCCACCAATATAATCCTCCGCCTTGCTGAATTAGTCCTCGTCCCCAGTAACTTGCGTCAGACAGTCCATCTTCAGTACATATACCAGTACTGTTCCCTAATTCTTCTGCCATTACATCGATGACTACATCGGTGCTGCATCCTGCATCTAGGCTGAACTGGAGCAGTTCATCAACTTCGCTAACAACTTCCACTCCACCCTCAAATTCACTTGGTCTACCTCGGACAACTCCCTTCCCTTTCTTTACCTTTCAGTTTCCATTTCTGGCGACAGGTTACAGACCAGCATTTACTATAAACCCACAGACTCCCATAGCTACCTGGACTATACCTCCTCCAACACTCTATCCTGCAAAATCTCCATCCCATTTTCCCAATTCCTCCACATCCATCTCCGTCGCATTCACTCTGATGAGGAGATGTTCCACTCCCAAGCATCCTGGATGTCCTATTTCAAACAATGTTATTTTCCCTCCTCTGTCACCCAGACAGACCCCTACCACACCACCACCATTCCCCGCTCCACAGCTCTAAACCATCCCCAAACAATAAAGATAGGGTTGCCCCTTGTCCTCACCTTCCACCCCACTAGCCCCCGCATCCAACATATCACCCTCGAACACTTCCGCCAACTCCAATTAGACCCCACCACCCACAACATCTTCCACTCCCCACTGTTGTCTGTCTTTGCAAGGGCCGTTCCCTTCACCACTCCTTAGTTCACACCCACCGACCACTCTAGTCCTCCCCCCCACCCCCCCGGTACTTTCCCCATAACCATAAAAGATGCATCTCCTTCAACCTAGTCTACTGCATCCAGTGTTCTTGATATGGCTTTCTCTGCATCAATGAGACCAAACGTAGACTAGGTGACGGTTTTGCCCAGCATCTTCGCATGGCCCGAAACGGCCAGCCTAATCTCTCGGTCACCGCCCACCAACTCACCCCCCACTTCCCCTCAGCCATGTCCATCCTCCGCCTCCTCCAGTATCGCAGTGAATCAGAATGCATATTTGAGGAACAATACCTTATCTTCCGCATGGGTACCCTACAGCACAGAGGACTTAACATTGAGTTCTCTCATTTCAAATGACCTTCCCATCCATCCCCTGGCTCCCTTTCCAGCCCAGCCCTCCTCCCGTCCATTCCACCTACTGACCTTCCCTTCCAGCTACCAACCGGATTCATCCCTCCCATCGACCAACCAGGTTGTACCTACTGCTAGTTTCACCTATCCCCCTCCCCTTTTATCTGCAGCTCCCCCAACCCCAACATCCAATCCTGAAGAAGGGTAATACCCAAAACGTTGACTTCTGCTTTTGTCTACACCCTATAGTAAACCAATATAAAGCTGCTAATCACCACAGATTCCCTTTACATTGTGTGCTATGAAGATATCGATGTGTAGCACTGAACAATGTGATCTTAATGAATACCACAATAGTGCTTGTTATTTCATGGCTGTAAGGGATCCAATGGCATTGCAGTTATTCTGTGGACATTAAAGTGGGATCATGTTCAATGACAACCGAGATCAGTGAGTGGCAAAAATAGCCTCTTTATTGAGCATCCACAGCAACACAGTTTGAGCCAGCGAGGGAATCCAAAGTACAATTTTAGTTTAATGCGGTTTTATGAATGAATGAATGGAAACATGATATGGTAAACATAGAACGCTTGTGAGTGAGTTGGTGAACATAATCTTAATACAATATCTCACAGTCCCCCCTTTTTGATTCTACTGAGACCCTTCAAAGAGAATCAAAATTCAGTTCACAAAACACACGGACTCTTATGGCCTTCCCTGATTTAAGGTATTAGTGAGGAGTAGGAATGGAGGATTATGGGTACAATCATAGCTGGGCTGGTACCACCCAGAGAAGTGGCTCGGGGTGGTTCACAGACCTCCAGGCTTCAGTACTCCCTGTCATGTTTATAAGAGAATAGAGTTCCCC